AACAAGCCCGGCAATACCCAGCATTAGAGACCTGTAGGGCAGACTTGGTTTTAGCACATGCTTTGGGTTTCTAAGTCCCCCACCTCTCCTAAGCTGCAGAAACATCAGCCAGAGCAGATACATAAGAGGACAGCAGACAGGATGTGAGGAAGTTCTTGCCTCAAGCGTATGGCAAGAACGAGAGCCTGAGCTCCAGGCAGCATGGGCAGATAGCTCTGTCACACAGTCTGCAGCCCACTGGACACTTCGAACATGAGCTTCCTGCCTCCTTGCCTCCAGAGGAAGTGTTCCTGGATTAACTTGTCTGGAGGAGAGGGGAGGAAGAGCTGCAGGTAATACCTGGATTTCTATGGTGCTTTTCTTCCTAAAAGTTCAAAAGAGGGCCGGCCCGGTGGCGCACTGGAGAGTGTGCCGCTTGAGAGTGTGGTGGCGCTCCCGCCGAGGGTTCGGATCCCATGTGGAGACCGGTTCCCGCTCACTGGCTGAGCGCGGTGCGGGTGCAACACCGAGGGGTGCGATCCCGTTGCCGGTCCCCGGTACGGGCGTGACACCGAGGGTTGCGATCCCGTTACCGGTCAGTAAAAAAGACAAAAAGAAAAAAAAAAAAAGTTCAAAAGACTTTGAATTTAAAAGTTCAAAAAAAGTTCAAAAGACTTTGAACTCCTGTGGTGTCCCCCAGAAACAGGGCAAGGAGAGGAAGACTCTCTCATTTTCTAGTCCAGGTAAGAAAATGGGGGACCAGAGAGAGTAACTAAATGGTCTGGGGGTCACAGAGCAAGACATGGATATGAATCTGGTGGGACAATGGTCTCTGTCTCCAGGCCCCTTATCCTCCTACCCCTAATCCCAGGCCTACCCTGCTGGGCTGCCTGGCCTCTCTGGCTGGATAGCAGTTTCAGTGCTCTCAGCTGCCTTTGCAGAAAGGTGAACTGGATCCTGAGTGTCCACTCAGCCTGTCCCTGGGCCTGAGCAGAGAGGAGGAAGAAGAGGAACTAGGAGAGGCTAAGGTCAGCCCTCCCTCCCACAGAGTAGTGACGACAGGTTGGCCATGAGCACCATGGTCCCACCACTGGGAGGTCAGGCCAGGGAGGCTGCCAGAACACCAGGGTTGAAGAGGGTCCAGATAACGCAAGCAGGGCAGCCTTTGTGGGTGGAAATGACATTTCTTGACTTTAAATAGCTCCACCTCCAGAGCCCTGTAGCTTCAGTGGGGCTATTAATTCCTGGACTCCCGGGGCTGCCCAGCTCCGTCATTCTGTTTGCACAAGTTGTGTAAGAGCTCAGGCATTTTTCCTGCTACCGGTCTCCCCCACCTCTCTTCAGGTTTCCTGTGCGATTTCAACAAGGGGTTAGTTTATTTCTAGTAGCAGGCCTGGGATTTGAGCTGACCACATACATATTTTGCCCTTCTTACAAGTGACACAGCTCAAGTCAACAGCAAACTCTTGAGGGTTTTCTTTGTAACTTGGTGTCTCTGTAATGAAAGGTAATGTGTATATGTATGGATGGCAGAAAAAGAGCCCATACCTATGCATATATGTGTATGTGTGTGTGTGTATTGAGTTAATTAATTAATCAATGAATTAATTAATCTACTAGATGTTTTTGGAATGCTTACTGTGTGTCTGGCCTGGGCTAGCACTGGGTACACAGGTTAAACAAGAGTCCTAACTGATAAAACAGCTGCTTCCGTCCCAGGCCTGCCCTTAGTGGAGTCTCCTGGCTTAGGTAGGTATCACTAACAATAGTTCTTCATGTCTCTGAATCCTGTCCACCCTCAGCAAGCCCCCAGTTATGCACCATGCTGAGAATGATGTAGAGGAAAAAGGTAGGTACAGGAGGTACTCAGTGCAGAAAATCGACAGGTCATGATGGCAGACTGGTTGGAAAATAAGAATCAATGATGAATTAATGACAATTCTAAATTAGTCACCCTGAGAATAAGGAGAATTAGAGAATGGCAAAGATGGATGTATGGACTTGGGAGGGGCAGTCAGCCACTCAGATCAGTAAGGAATTGTGTTTGGCTGCTAATAACAAGGTCCAATCACAGTGGCTTAAACACACAGGACTTCCTCTCTCACATAAAAGCCTGCAGCTCCAGGGCTAATGCAGCAACTCCACAGTCATTGAGATCCTTCTGTCTTTCTGCTGTCATCCTCAAATTCTCCTCATGGCCAAAATAGCTACTGGAGTGCCACTCATTATATCTGAATTTGAGAAAGAGAAAAAGAAGGACAGAGGGGCAAAAGGGGTATATGCTCCCCACCCTTTTAAGAAACCCTCCTAGAAGTCCCCTTCCACCCTTCTGCTCGCATCTCATTAGCCAAAGCTTAGTTACATGGCTACACCAAGCTGCAAGGGAGACCTGGAAATGTTGTTTTTAGCTGTGCATGTTGCCCAGGGCTCTGTTACTAATGAAGAAGGGAAGAACTGACACTGGGAAGCAACGAGTAGTTTTTGCTAAGGCACCCAATAAATATTTGTGGAATTGAATCAGAAGGAAAGTTAAGGAACTGTGTTTGGGGGCATGAAGAGTGTGCAGTGAGGATGAAACATCTTATTGAAACAGAGAAGTGTAACATGTGAAGTGAGAGACGAATACACTGATTCTCTGGTCAGCCACAGAAAAGAGTAAAAACCATGTCTCTGGTGAGAGCCCATCACTGAGCCTGGGGGGAAGAGCAGCTTGCAAAAGAAAAAAATTACATACCATCTTTCTTGTCCATTATCACTCAGTGTGATTTCATCTGAGCTTGCATAGCCTTTCAGTCAGACTGTTGTATCTTTGAATGCATAGATGCAGCTCCTATCTATGGGGAACTCCTGAGGGCACCTGTTAAGGTTAGCAAGCCCAGTTCTCCCCTGTGCCCAGGCTGAGCATTTCAAAGACACACATAGACACCCTCCTCTGCTCCCCATACCCTGATGGGCTCTGATCAGACCTGGCTGTGGTTTAGACCCTGCTTGGGAATTCCGGGAGCTAAGGAGGGGTGTGGTGGGGGAAGGTGCCCTGTAGAGAGGGAGCAGGGCCATGCAAGGGGCTTCTCCCCTTGCTATATAAGCCCTCAAGAAGTTTCTTTCAGAGGATTTATATCAGTGGTTCTTAACCAGGAGCAGTTTAACCCTACAGGGGACATTTAGCCAGGACTGGGAACATTTTTTATTATGACTGGTATATGTGTGTGCATGTATATCTGTCTGCTATTGATATTTGGTGGTTGGAGGCCAGGGATGATGCTAAGCATCCTACAGGCACAGGATAGCCCTTGATAATGAAGAATTATTTGGCCCAAAATGTGAATTGTGCTGAGGTTGTGAAACCTCAGTTTCTGTGAATCTGATCACCAGGCCCACAGGAAATTTAAATAATCCTGGTTTTACCCAGACCCACGCAATACGGATTGACATTCAGGCTCGCCCTAGGCCTCTGAAAGTCCTCTTTAACCACCAAAGGAAAGATTAAACCATGCTTATAACTGACTACGATTTATTGAACATTTGCTTTCCCCCAGGTTCTTTGCATAAATTACTGCCACACTTTTCAACAATCGTAAAGAGAGAGGTGGCACAATCATCGTTATCACTATTTCACAGATGAGCAAACAGGCTCAGAGAGGTTAAGTAACTTACCCAGTAGCACTCAGCTAGTAAGTGACCCCAAAGCCCACTCACTTGCCATTCTCCACATGCCTCTCATATTTGTTACAGTACTATTTCTACATATATCTGTGTAAGCTTTCATCTTTTGGAAGCTCGTGATTAGATGAGACAAATGAGGAAACTCTCTGTTAACTAGACTATTCCATTAACTCCAAGCACCTCCTTCTTCAGCCATTCTGAGTGAACAGGAATTTCTATGCTTAAAGCACATAAAGATGTGCCAGGAGGATTTAGTTTCTGGAAAAGCAGAGCCAAATGGCCACCAAACAGATGAAAATATGCTCAAGTTCATTAAGGGGTCATAGAAATGCAAATTAAAGTAACAGTGAGATCCCTCAGGATGGTCTCGGCAGACTGGTAGAAATCACCAAGGGCTGTGCCACCTGTTTGCTGTTGGGCTGCGGGAGAAAGGGCATTCTCATTCATTGGTGGCAGGGACATGAAGTGTTGGACCTTCTTCAAAAGCAATCTGCAAGGGCCGGCCCCCTGGCGCACTCGGGAGAGTGCAGCGCTTGGGAGCGCAGCAGCGCTCCCGCCGCGGGTTCGGATACTATATAAGGATGGCCGGTGTGCTCACTGGCTGAGCGCAGTGCGGGCAACACCAAGCCAAGGGTTGCATCCCCTTACCGGTCACAAAAACGACAAAAGAAAAAAGCAATCTGCAATATCTTCTAAAATTGAATCCAGGGACATTTCAACCCAGCAATCCAAATTCTGGGCACATATAGATGTGTGACAAGGATTTTTATCACACCATTGCTCAAAGTACCAAAAAAATGGAAACACAGTGGAGGCCTCTCAGAAGGGGGTAGTTGAATAAATTATCTGTACCACGGAGTATGGAGTATACGCAGGCAGCCAGCATCAGGGCTGCTGAACCCATTAGCCACCTTGGCAGGGTGCTGGGGAGAGAGAGGATCTGCTGCATAGGGGCAGAGAGAACTGTTTAGGGTTCGGGCACTGCTGATTGTGGTGGCAGTTACATCATTGAATACAATTACCAAAATTCATCTACCTTTACACTTAAAATGGGTGAATTGTATTGAATATAAATAATTTTTAAAAAAAGACTGCTATACAACCATACCAATTCCTATGAGGTATTAATAAATGAGAGAAATGTCTAATAAGATCCCACTTATATGCATTCGTGTATACTCATAGGCTCTTTGTATGAGTTACCTGGAGGTGGGGAGCAAGGAAAAGTCAAGAAAAAATGAAAACAAAAAAGCACGGACTGTAAAAGCATGTGTGATCTGACCATATGTATGCATTTATGCAACATCTAGAAACGTGTGGGTAGGGGTTTAAATCAAAAGTTTTTAAATGTAGTTACCATGCGTATCCGAGCTGGGGAGGAGGCGGCGTGCTCCCGGGCCCCCTGGGGCCAGCGGGCCGAGGCTTCGCGCTCCAGGCGGTAAGTCACGGGCAGTCCCGGCTGGGACGGCGCCTGCGGGCGCGCTGCAACTGCACGGTGCGGAATCCCTCACCTCTAGGAAGGCAGACGCCGGCCGCCCGGGAGTCCGACCGCGCGGGTGTTACCCAGCGGGGGCGGAGGCTCCTGAAAGGCGCATTGTTGGCCAGGGAGGCAGGCGCCGCGCGGGGACAGCGGGGACAGCGGGGACAGCGAGGCTGGGGGTGGGGGTGGGGCCCCGGGCTGGGCGACCCATGGCCACGCCTAGGATCCCCAGCCCGCCGCGTCGACCCCGATTCTCCTGAAGCTCAGCGAGAGGCCCAAATGCCCTTCTCGGCGCAGACGCTGCTACTGCCTCTTGCGGGGTCTGGGAGCTCAGTGCCAAACACCCTACAGGATCTGTGCACAGGTTTGCCTCTCTTTAGAGCCCCTGAATGGCTCGGGCAGGCCCTAGGACTTGTGTCTGTTGTTCCCTCCTTGGGGCCTAGCACGATGCCTGGCACATTGCAGGCACCCAAGAAACATTTGTATGGTGACTGATAGGGCATTCAACGGACTTGCACGGGGGCGTCCCCCTGAGCTCCGGGCTCCAGAGCCACATGCTCCCTCCAGAACCCTGCATGGCTTTCCTGTACTGTTAGAATCCTGCCTGATGGGTTTGATCATTTCCCTTCTATCTGTCTATGCCCTGCCTCCCCAGCCAGACAGCGATGCCCTGAGGGCAGGGACCGTATCAGACATGTGACTACTTCCCAGAGCAAAGACACAAGCATGCAACCCAACACACAGTAGGTGTCCATCACCATAAGTTACTGTGGAAAAGGCAGAGAAAGAGGACACTGTGGGTCCAGTGCTTCTCTCTGTGCCCCTCGATAAAAATCAAATTTGGTCTTAGATATTCTGTTTTTTGTACCAAGAGAGAAATGTAGAAATGTAGCCTGAGCCTTGGGGGCAGAGGTGTGACAAAACTTGTAGCTTGAAAAAAAAAAAACCACTAAAATTAGAACACAAAGTTTAAGAGCTGAGTCAAGTGGGCCGAGAAGCTTCTCTTGTTCCCCTGTCCTGGGCTATTTGCCAGGAGAGGAAAATGCTTCCAGAAAACCCAAGTCCGGATGTAGTCGCTCTAAGGGAAAGATTTTTCTACCTGGAACTAAAGCAAGAACTAGGTCATAAATCAAAATCTTCTAACTTCCTCTGTGACCAGAGCTGCAAGAGAGACATAGGTTAATAGAAAGAACACTGACCTGGGGTCAAAAGATCTGGATTTGAGCTGTGTCCTCAGCCTCCTCTTAGATCAATCCCCTGACCTTGGCAAAGTTCTTGACTTCTCTGAGCCTTGGTTTCCTCATCTGTAGCCTGAGGATCATAACTCTACTTCACTCACATGACAGTCTACTGATGGATGGGTGACTACCTATCTCAGCTTGTGACACATAGCAAGTCCTTAGTAAAAGGCTGTGGTTCAAACAGATACTTGTACACCATTGTTAACTGCAGCACTACTCCCAACAGCCAAAAGGTGGGAACAAACTAAATGTCCATCAATGGATGGATGGATAAACAAAATGTGGTATATCCATGCAATGGAATATTTTTCAGTCATAAAAAGGAATGAAGTTCTGATCCATGCTACAACATGAATGAACCTTGAAAACATTATGATAAGTGAAAGAAGCCAGTCACAAAAGGACATATATTGTATGATTCCACTTATACGAGGTACCTAGAATAGGCAAATTCCCAGAGATTGGAAGAAGATTAGAGGTTATCAAGAAATAGGGAGTTATTGCTTAATGGATACAGAGTTTCTGTTTGGGCTGATGAAAAAGTTTGGGAAATAGTGGTAATGGTTGCACAACAATGTGAATGTAATTATGCCACTGAATCGTATGTTTAAAAATGGCTAAATTGGCAAATTTTATATTATGTATATTTTACTACAATAACAAAATTTTCAGGAAAGAAGGCTATGGAAACTGATTGTAAAAAGAAAGTTCTGCTCTCAACTGGAAACAGCCCAAATATCCATCCACAGCTAAAGGGACAAAGTGTCATCTGGAATACTGTGCAGTCATGAAAATAAATGACAACCACACACAACAATCTGGGTGAGCCTCACACATGATGTTGAGTAGAAGAAGCCAGACACAAAAGAGGACATCCTGTATGATTCCATTTATGCAAAGTTCAAAAGCAGGCAAAACTAATCTATGATGCTAGAGGTCAGGATAGGGTTACCCTTGGGGAGTAATTATTGGAAAGGAGCACTAGGGGGCTTCTCTGGCTGGCAATGTTCTGTTTCCTCATCTAGATGCTGATGCCTGGCTATGTTCACTTTGGGAAAATTCTCCAAGCTGTTTTGTACTTATGTGTGTTCTTTTCTGTATGTTTACTTCAACAAAACATTTTTTTTAAAGTTCTGGTTTGAGTCTTCAGTGAAGGGAATAGAGAACTAGAAAGTAAAGCTACAGAAGCCTGATTTATACACATTTAACCTGTGCCAAGCCAAAAGGACTGTGAAACAAGACTTAGAATTCTCTACACTGCTTGCAATTCATACTGCCCTCTCTCCTAGGCCTCCGTGAGTTGTAACCAATTAGTTTTTGAATTCTAAACAGCAGGCTTTCTACAGCTCACACTGGGGACACATGGGAATGGGGTATACCTTGCACCAAGGGAGGCCTTCATCCCTAAGCTCACAGCCCCTGGAATAGAAACTCACCATCACCCTGGGCTTGCAGGCACTTAGTAGGCATTCAACAAATACTTGTCAGTGGACTGTGTCATACAGGTCCTTCAAGTACATCCCACAGCTCCCACGGAACCCTCTTAGTTCCCTGTCAGAGAAGAGATGTTTGCAGCCTCTTGGGGCACAGCTGCCAAGGACATAGGGCCTGGGGGCCTAGGGGAGAAGTTGCCCCTTCCTCTGACATGGGGAGTCCACCTTCCCAGAAATGCTATTGGATGCCGTGGAGAGAGTGGGTCCAAAACATTTGACTTGGCCCAGACTAACCCAAGGTGACTCCTGACACCAAACAAACCCGCGGTTGGGGTTGGGGAGAGGAGATAATTTTTATTTTTGCTTAGTGACAAACTGCTAAATAATAGATCTGGCTGGGGTTTTGGTTTCTCCCCTGCTGGCTTGACCAATGTGTTGGCTAAATGACTGAACTGGCAGGTTATTTTGGCCCTGTGGGGTCTGAGAATTTGGTTTCTGCTCCTGGAGGCCTTCCCCTCTCTCCTGGGTGTTTGGGCCTCCCCCACAGTGTCGTGTTTGTTTGCCTGCCTGTCTTAGGCCTGGAGAACTGAAGCAGGCTGCATGGCCAGACACCAGGTTTTTACATGACCAGGGCATGTGGCACTGGGGGAACAGACCCCTGCCCACAGGGAGGTTCCTGTGCATAGCTAGAGCAGCAGCAGCCTCTCATTTGTCCCAGTAAATGTTGTCCTCCTTTTCCCGCCAGACTCCTTTGCCTTTCTCCTTGCAGCAAACAGCCAGCCATTCTTAGTATTAATGACAGCAGTAGCAGCAACAATAATCCCTTCCATGGGAAGCAGGCGCTATGGTTTACTAAAGGATCCTGTCATTTAACCTCTCACAACCCTCTGTTTGGGGCTGAGGTTCAGGGAACTTCAGGGACTTACCCAGGGCCATGGAATCATAAAGGTTAGAACGTGTCTTTTGCTTTCTGGTCCCATCTTCTTTCCTCTGACCCAAGATACCCTCTTGCTTTTGGAGATTGGGGTGGGCAGAGGCTGCTAGATGCCACTCAAAATCCATTTTTTCCTTAGCAACAGAACCTTAATTTTATTCAAGACAGCATTGTACCTAGGCAAAAGAAAAATTCTCAGCCTTATTTGCAGTCAGTGATATGTAAGCAGAAACTTCAGCGAAATTCCTTAAAAGAGTGGGGAAGATAGCCCTTTTTAGCTTTCCTCATTGCCTGGAATTCAGATGTAATAGCTGTTGCTCAGCAGCTATATTGGACAATGAGGCAACTTTGAGGATAATAGCCACTAGGATAGTAGAGAAGAAATGGAGAAGGGGCCTGAGTCTCAGAGGACTAGAGAGCCACCATACCAGCCCCGATTCCCTATCTTTGGACTTCTTTTCATTGAGAAAGAAATTTCTATCTTGTTTAAGCCTCTGCTATATGGTTTTCAGTTGTTTGCATTCCATTTTAATCTCTCCAGGATCAGGAACCTCTTTTCTGGTGACAGACAGTCTCTCCTGCCCCACTTCCTACTTAACTCATTTGAAATAAAGATGGCCCTCTCCTCATAGTTCTTAGCTTTCATAGCTTGTATCTGCCAGGCCTGGGTCATGAGGGCTATCTCAGGAAGTTATCTTTCTGGATCCCTTGAAACTGCTAAGAGTTCTAGACAATGAGAACTGACATATGACACGCTTTCTTCTGTTAATTCCTATAGCCAAGCAAAACTTATGGGGAAGAACACATGAGAATTCCAAGCAGTCGGCAGTTTGCATAGACTGGATTCTTCGGTTTACAAATACACACTTCTAACTCCCTCTCACTCCCCCAGCCTTCCAGACGGTGCGACAGAGTTCATCGTTTTGGGCCTGCTCATATGCCCCTTTACACCCCAAAGCATAGCAGAAAATGGTACGCTCCATATTTTTGAGATCTTTATCACATAAATCCATACTATTAAAAAACTTTTGAGCACACAGCTGTAATAGATGCATGTTGACTGAGTTAGGAATGATAGAGTCATTCCTATCAGTCTGGATGTGTGGGACTGCAAGTAACTGAAAGCCCAGGCAATAATGGCTAAATTTCTGAGAACTTCGACTGGTTACTTAAAAAGAAGTTGGGGAAAGGGTGGTCTGAGCTTGGTTCGTCATATCACTAATATAATTAAGGACTGGGTTCTCTCTGGCTTTCTGAAGTTCCTCCATCCTTAGTGTGTTGGCTTTTGTCCTCAAGTCTATCTCTTCAATGTCACATGTTAATATTGTGTCTGCCTTTTCAGCAAGAAAATGGGGAAAAGGGAGAGTGCCAGCCAGCCATACCATGGTGCCTGTCCCTTTCTGAGAAGCAAAATGTCTTTTCCAGATATTCTTGGTGAATGTGCCCTGCTGCCTCATTGGCTGATACTGGGTCACTTGGCCTCACTGGCCACAAAGGAGTCTGGGAAAGTACTAGTCAACAAGGGAAAATGGGGGTGGGAATAGCTGTTGTGTGGCTGTCCTGTACAGTCTGCAATGCACATGAACTACTGGGCTAATGTTTTGGATACATTTTAAGACCTACACACGAAAATAGAGTTTTACAAAAAGTGAGACTAAAAAAAGATAAATAAACATTCTAATGTTACTTTCTGCACAGCTCCTAGGGCACAAGCACTCACTCCAGAAAACACTGGGGACAGCATAAATGGTACCACCTCTGCAGTCAGAAGGACCTGAGTTTAAATCTTGTCTCTGCTACTTACTAGCTGCAACCTTGGTCAAACTCCTTAATTTTGTTAAGCCTCATTTTCCTTATCTGCAAAATAGGAATAGGAATAGAACCCACCTGAAGGGGCTTTGTAAATTTCCTAGCATGGTGCTCAGCACCTTGTAAGAAACAATAAATGTTAGATAATATGTCTCCCTTCAGTAACAGCTTCCAATGTATGATCAGGAGATGGTGTTGGGGAGAATTAAAGTATTGAATGTGATGGTAATTCTTCAAGGAAGATTTTAATAATACCCATCATTTAAGTATCCAGGTGTTTTCATTTCTATACCAATAAAAGCCACATTCTGAGGATCTATATCAGGGGTAGAGCACGGCACCAGGAGTCCTGCCAATACTTTTCCAGCTTTGCCACTACTAGATCCTGTTATTTCCCTCTCTGGGCCTCAGTTTCCTCAGCTGGAACACTGGTGTCCTAAGTCTGTCTCCTTTCCTTTGATGTAGGGCATCCCCACTGTCAGTCCCAATCTGTGTGACATCTCTCTACCTGGTCTCTCACCAATCTCACCCCCACTCCTCCATGTCTCCTGGACTTGATTTCTGAGGTCCTGTCCCTGTGGCTTGCCTTCCCTTTCTCTGGCCTGTTCACCCATCATTCCTCCCCCTGGCAACTCAGCCCTTTTGAAAGTGTTCTCCATTCCATGATCTCTCTAGGAGGGAGGTAGCTTAAAGTACTGGTTTCTGCTAGACCTGGTTTCAGATTTTTTTCCTCCAAACATGTTCAGACCACTTTCAGTGCACCAGGCCCTGTCCTTAAAGTCATATAACGCTAGGATGTGGATACTATTATTGCCACCACCATCATCATTCCCATCTTTTAAATGAGAAGAATGGGGCATACAAACGTTAAATCACTTGCCCTAGGTTGCACAGCTGGTAAGGGGAAGAGCTGCATACTTGCCCAGGCAGTCTGGCTTGAGAGCTTGTGTTCTTAACCACTGCACTTAAACAATATCTAATGTCCTAACTTTGTTTCTTTTTAGTTGTGCAAACTTGGGCAAGTTATTTAACCTTGTTATATCTGTAAATGCTGAATCATTTTAAGAATACATGGCAGATGTCATGACATTTCACTCAAGACTTCAGCATGTATCTACCACGAACAGGGACATTGCCCTATAGAACCACAGCACTGTCATCAGCTCAGGAAATTAAAGACTGATATATTACTCTCATTTAATATACTGTTTATTTTCAAATATCCCTGTCTCAATAATGTCTTTATAGCTGTTTTTTTTGTATAGAGTCACTCAATACCACACATCATATTTAGCTGTAATGTTTTAAATTTTTTTATTGTGATATTATTCACATACCATAAAATGCATTCTTTTAAAGTGTGCAATTCAGTGGTTTTTTAGCCTATTCACAAAGTTGTACAACTATCACCACAATCTAATTCCAGAAAATTTTCATTATCCTCAAAAGAAACCTTGTACACATGAGCAGTAACTTCCCATTCCCCTAACCCCCTCAGCCTGCCTGTGACAATCACTAATCTACCTTGTGTCTCTATGGATTCGTCTATTCTGAACATTTCGTATAAACAGAATCATACACTATATGATGTTTGTGTCTGGTTTGTTTCACTTATCATAATGTTTTCAAGGTTCATTCATTTTGTAACATGGATCAGAACTTCATTCCTTTTTATTCCACTATATGGATATACCAAATTTTGTTGATCATCTGTTGATGGATCCTTGGGCTGTGTCTACTTTTTGGCTATTGTTCACAATGCTGCTATTACACTGATTTTTTGGAGTGCAGGCTGTTATTTTGCAGAATGTCCCTCCATTTGCATTGTGTGATTGTTTTCCTTGTGATTACTTTCAGGTTACTGCACCATTTTTCATAGCCTAACCAATGGCTTTCTCTATCTGCTGAACCGAGCCAAGCGCCAGCATCTCTGCTCAGCTCTGTCTCTGGCAGGTAGAACAGTCTGGTGGAGGAAGTGCTCCTGGCCTTCCCAATACAGCACCACTGTGCTTATTTCTCCTGCCCATACTCCCTGCCACTGCCCTCCCTGCCTCGTGGGCACAGAACCTCAGAACTATTTCAGGCCCCTTCGTGGTAGACCTGGCCTGGGAAAATCTGAGGTCCTGGCTGCTGGACACAACTGCCTTCCTTAGAGGCATGAAGGTCATTCCCTGGGCTTGGCTCCTTTGGTCTGGTGGCCTAGGCCCTTGTTTCTGGTTCCCACTGGCCCCCAGCAGTCATCCATGGCAGTGAGTGTGAGGGATCAGAAGATGCATCGCTGGGATGGGCTTCCTGTTGACAATGATGGCTTGTGGTATTGGGTGTGGTTATGGCTCCAAAGAGCATCTATCTAAAAACGGTCCCTTTCTGCTCAATGGATTTGGATCACATGTCTCTGAGTCATTGCTGTTTTCTTCACACCGGCAAAAACAACCTTTCTTCTCTGGCCGCTTTCCTCTTTGTAGCCCCCAGGAGTCCCTCAGCTATGGAAATCTGGAGTCTCTTCCCTCCTGGACCTCTTCCCCAGATTATTTCCCAGCAAAATCTGCAGGGTAGCGGGAGCTATAGCACCATAGCTGTTTGTTTATTCACTAGAGCAGAGTGAGGCAGGGCTTTTGAGTTACTTTCTGACTTGCTGTGTGGCTTTGAACAACTTGACCACTCTGTGCTCCTGTTTTCCCAGCTGGAAATTAGAGGATGGATGACTCCATTCTTTGCAGTATTTATCCATGGACCAAGGTTCGTGTACAGGTGAGACAATCAGTAGAGCAAGTGACTGAGATGGGGTGAGCCTCCTTCCTTGGAGGTGTAGACGTTTAACAATAGGTTAGAGCCCCATTTGGCCATCCTGGCAGATAAAGATGTGGTTGTGGGAAGAACATTTATGGCTAGACATTCCTGAGGCCAAAAATTGTTTCTCTATGTCTTACTAGCTGTGGGGTCTTGGGAAAATTACTTAATCTCTCTGACCCTTTGTACAGGGTACTTCAAAAAGTTCACGGAAAAATGGAATTAAAAGATAATACGAATCTTTCCATGAACTTTTTGAAGACCTCTCATATAATGGGGATAACGGTAGCTTTTTCTTGGGGTTGA